TAGTTTTCAATACTTTAATGATCCCTGGAGTATGTTAATAAGACTTATTGGGTTGCATAATGAGCACATGCACAGAGATATTTTAAAAATAGTATTTATATGTGCACAGAGATGAGTGCTACATGAATGTAAACTAAATGTCATAATCATGAAAAAATAACTAAATTAAAGTGATCCTAGGGATTGATTGGGAACTGTGACATATATGTGAATTTTTTCATATTTGACTGTTTTCTTTTCTAATGGTAATAAAGCCATGTAAACAAAATGCAAAATGTTGACTGCAATGTAATGGTTGAAATGTTTACATACATAAAAGGGTCAGAATAAATTTATACCCTTATGATGGCTGTTGGTTGCTAGTACTGAATCCATATTCTTAAAGTGATCTATGGAGCCATAGCTGAATGCCACAGAGACAGAACCATAGTTGGTACATTCTTGTTTATTGATTCTCCTATCGTGAGTGTACTAAATACTCACCTGAGACTGCTGCTCTGGGGCTTGTCTGTTTTTCTCCAGGGTTACATGTGTGAGCATCATGAGCTTACTCTTTTATTAAGACATATTATTCTGTGTATGTGTGTTTGTTAGAGATACACACACACACACACACACACACACACACACACACACAGAGACTGAAACACACATATACAGAAAGAGGGCGACAGAGACTGAGACACACGCACACATACCCAGTGACTGACACACACATAAACACAGAGAGAGCGCCTGATATACACACGAACACACAAACCACGCACAGACACACACACACACACAGAGTGCCTCATATACACATACACACACACACACACACACACACATACACAGAGCTCCTGACACACACACGGAGCTCCTGACACACACACACACACACACACACACACACACACACACACACACACACACAGAATGGTTGCTATGACACATACATAGTGGTCAGAGGACAGTTTCAGCATACAGTTCTCTCCTTTTCCCATGGTTAAACAGGGGCAGAACTGAGATCATAAGACCTGCATAGCAAGTGCTTCTCGTTGATGGACCACCTCCCCAGACTTATTTTTCTGTTTTAGTGTATGTATAAAAAGACTGTAACACGAATCTTAAAAGGTCTTATAATAAAAAACCCAGAGCCAGATACTGGGGTGAAAGCTGAAAGATCAGAGGAGCAGAACAGCCAGCCACTAGCTTACCTCTACAGAATCCTCAATCTAAAGAGAGGGAGCTCCTGTTTCCTCACACCTTATATACCTTTCTGTGTCCTGCCATATTACTTCCTGGGATTAAAGGCGTGTGTCACCATCACCTGGTTCTGTTTCTCTCATGTAGCCCAGTGTGGCCTTGAACTCACAGAGATCCAGAAGGATCTCTGCCTCCCGAGTGCTAGGATTAAAGGTGTGTGCCACCACTGCCTGATCCCTATGTCTACTTTAGTGACTGGCTCTGTCCTCTGATCCCCAGGTAAACTTTATTGGGGTACACAATATATCACCACATTTCCCCTTTCTTGTCTAAAATAATAAAAGAAGATTATAACTAATATAAGAAAAACTATGTACAATAAGTACAATAAGTATAAACAATATATACAGTCAATAAATACATCAACAATGTCTAGTCTATTTGCATTTGACAAATTCAGAGAAAATATTCCATTATCTATCCTATCTTTGTGAATCCAAAGGATTATATCTAATTCACCTTCTATCCTAATTTGCATTACCAACCCAAAACTATCTTTTGATATCTTACAAACTTACACACTTTATACCTCTTTAGTGAGTTTCTTTTCGAATTTGTTAACAAGAAAAACTAACTATAACTATCTAATCTTCAAAAGAGAAAATCAATGTGAGAGAGTGATTTAAAATGGCATCTTTTCATTAAAAGTGCAGTACTATATTATTTGCTGCTTTTGTTAAATATAATTACAGACTTACCGGAGTATTTGAAATACAACTGGATTTATATTTATATTGTTTTGCATCAGTGAAGTGACTTGGTCCCATGTTCTGTTTTCCTTCTGGCCTTAGATCCCATAACAGTTTCTGAGGAAGGAGTCCTGTGTGGCTTCACAGTCTCTTCCTGATGCCATTTGTTAGCCATTTTTGTTATGGGAATAAGACATCCTATTTAATGTTTCTTTATTTTTTTTCATATTTTGGTTGTTGTTGCTTTTAATTTTCCTCTTTTAAATGAATACTTAATTTCCCCATTTCTTTCTGTTTATATCTCTAGTAAGGTTGAATTAATATGTCTTGCAGTTGCTTAGGGTGATTGTCCACTTTAGTTTTAGGTATTATGGTCTACTCTTACGAACTGAGCCCAAAGGAAAAGCAGTGAGCAGTGCTCTTCTTTTAATAGCTTCTATTTAAAGAGATTTTTCAAAATGCCTCCCTTTGTATGATGATGCTGTGCTGGTTCGTTGTTGTTGTTGTCAACAGTACAAATGAGAGATGCCTAAGAAGAAGGAACCTCAACTGAGGAATTGCTTTAGATCAGATAGGAAGGTCTGTAGGGTATTTTGTTGATTGCTGATTGATGTAGGTAGGCCCAGCCCACTGTGGTCACTGTCACTTCATGGGCTGTATAAAAAAGTAGCTGCTGCTGAGCCTAGGAGCAAGCCAGTAAGCGGCATTCCTCTGTCGCCTGCCTCCAGGTTCCTACCTCGGCTTCCCTTGGTGATGGACTGTAGTCTGTAAACCATAGAAATCTTCCCTTAACCCAAGTTGCTTTTGGTCAATGTTTATCACAGCAACAGAAAGCAAACTAGAACACATCATTATATATCAACAATTTTTTCTACAGAACTGTATTATTATATAAAGAAAGAACAACTCAGTGTATGATTATAGCAAATTGTTGTTTGTGGCATGGTTGTGTCAGGATGTAACCTCTGAAACTTTCTAGGGAAGCGGTATAGTCTGATGGCATTACATTGTGTTTATAAACCCAGATTCCACTTGGAATCTTATTTCCTGCCTTTAGCTCATCTTTGCTAACACAGTGCTTTGAGTTGGCACAAGTCTCTGTAACAGAATCTGAGAGATGGGTATTCTGGGCCTTGCTTATCCAACTGTGTTCTTACTGCTCATAACTTTGGCTTCCCATCTGATCAATAGAAGTAGGCATTACTTCTAAGAAACCATCAGAATTTGCACCTATAATCCTAGCATTAGATGGAAATGAAAACCTTATTCTTCCTGGAACTGCTCTTCAGATACTGTATTTGAAACATGCACACACACACACGCACACACGCACACACACACACACACACACACACACACACACACACACACACACACAGAGAGAGAGAGAGAGAGAGAGAGAGAGACAGACAGACAGACAGAGAGACAGAGAGAGACAGAGACAGAGACAGAGACAGAGAGCGAGCATAATTTTGAGATGTTTAAAGTCTAGTGGAGGAGAATTCCTTCAGATTTTTAAGTCTATCATTGTATCAAGTTGGATTTTTGTAAAGTTTTGTATTTGGGCCAAGACCTCCATATAGATGCCTTAAGGAATTATTATTTACTAGCATGCTCTAGCTTTTCACCAGGGGTTAAAGGGAAGGCTGTATGGCAATCATTTCTATTAGCTTTTGTAAAATCGCAATTGCATTCTGTGGGTTCCATCAGCTCTTATTCTTAATAAAGACTCATTTGATAAGGCTTAAAGCTTTGTCCTAGTAGGGTTTCCATCTCTGTTTAGAGATTGGTATCTGTTCCTTTACCAAGTGCTTTACAGCTTGAGGCTTTCCTTCTTCTTGAGGTTAAGAACCATAGGACCAAGTTGGCTTTAGCTTGGCTGTTCTTTAAAATCTCTACGGATGCTTTCCTTCACTTCTTTTGTTGGTTTGTGTCCTTTTCCTGTTGTTAATTCTTTATTTTCATACTTATCCTGGAACTAGGCAGTGAACAAACAATTGAGAGACTCTATCACCGTTACATTTAATATCAGACTGTTTCTTTTAAACTAAGCATTTAAAAATACTAGTTGGAAATAATCTAAATCATAAGGTCAATTTAGAGAACTCCATGCTCAACTCTGAACACAACTACTCATAGACTAGCATGCTGTGGGAGGATGGGGACAGAGCTGGAGCTCTTCTCCAGCTACCAGTAAAGTACTGAAGTGGAGGATGCACGCTGAGCATGGAAAGTTAAAAAGGCAAAGGGGTGGGTGTGACTACCCCTCCCCCATCCCACTATGATGTTCTGAAGTGATAACTGCAGGAATTACATATTTCTGCTTTGGGAATTTTATATTACAGTTTTACTATCTACAGTTGAGAAAGTATCTTCAAGATTATTCTATGCTAGCATATTTGTGGCATTACTTAAGTTGGAATATGCATTTCAAGTTGGTTGGGCAATTCATTTTTTTGCATTGTAATTTGATTCCAGAAAAATATGAGATGGGTATTCTGAGAGTTAAACAGGATAAAAGTGACAACTATTCATCTGAAAAGACCTTTGGTTTGTGTTTAAAGGTTTTGTTAGTGTGCTGGTTAATGGCTGTCAACACAAGCCTGATAGATGTGAGAACTGAGAGAAATGTCTCCTAAGATTGGTCTGTAGGAAAGCCTTTTGGACTTTTTCTTGATTATTGGTTAATGGAGAAGGGCCCGGCTCACTGAGGATGGTGCCACCCCTGGACTGGTGGTCCTGGAAGCCATAAGAAGCAGGCTGAGCAAGCTATGGGGAGCAAGCCAGTAAGCAGCACCCCTCCATGGCTTCTGCATCAGCTCCTGCCTCCAGGTTCCTGCCTGCTTGAGTTCCTGTCCTGACTTCCTTCAGTGATTGTGCCCCGAGAGTTGTAAGACAAAATAAACCTTTTACTCCCTAACTTGATTTTGGTCATGGTATTTTATCACATCAGTAGAAACCCTAACTATCGCATATTTTTATGGAGACAAATTATTTCTCTTAAAATGAATCTTACTTTGGTATAAGTAAATTGAGTCATCAAGTTTACTTGTCCCACCACAGGATCCTGGATACTGGGTGAAGATTCATCACTTAGAATACACAGATGGAGGAATCCTGGATCCGGATGATGTCTTAGCAGATGTTGTTGAAGACAAAGATAAGGTAGATGACTCTGAAACTGTTCTTCATTTTCCTTTACTGAGCAGCATATTTTCAAGTCATTGGATTTCTTCACAAATTCATGTGTCAGTTATTATTAAAAGATACCATCTGTTCAGGTTTCACCTGGACAGCTCATAAATCAAAGTTCTTCATCAGATGTTTGCCTGAAGTTTGTCAAAGTTTGGGAACTTGTTTGTGGTGGCCTAATTAGCAGACTCTTCATTCTCCAGAGTTCCCAATACATCTCAATAAATTAGTGTCAGCCACAGAGGCTTTTGGAGTTGCTGCTACTGCTGGCTCTGGAGTTTATTCCAGACACTTACTAAATATTCATCCTAATGCCTGAGGTTGGAACGTGTTTTGCGTTTGCATTGGAGAATATAGAGGGGTATGGATGACTCATGAAGAGCTATGGTGTAGATTTTTCTCAAAGTAGATGGCACACTATATTGTGTGACTGTCTTTCTTTCATTATTAACCCCCAACCCCACTCCAAAAGAAAAGAAGAGCATTCAGTTGAGAAACTTTAGAAATGTTCTGTTACCTACTTGAGAATAGTTCATCACAAATGTAATGATTGAATGGAATTTTGCTTCTTACTACTTTAAGAAAAGTATAAAAGTAAACTATTCCATGGCTATACCCTGGATTATTGCCACTGTAACACTTTGATGAATATGAACTCTATGTTGTCCTCAGAAATGGAACTACTTCCAGGGTTTCTTCTGCACCCTCTTAGCATTGTTTATAGGAGGTTTATTTATATTTGTGGCAGGTTTCTCTGTATTGTTTTTCTGTTTCAGGGCTCGTGTGTGTGTGTGTGTGTGTGTGTGTGTGTGTGTGTGTGTGTGTGTGTGTGTGTTTCAAACTTACATTAATCTTTGCAAACAGATTTTGTCTTTTATATTTTCTCTTGGTACTTGGCTTGACTGGCTTTGGGTGGTAGTCAGCCATTTCCTAAGGGAATTGAGTCTCTCAGTAGACTGTCGCTCCTAGAAGACAGGGACTAAAGACTCTTCATCTTTTGTGTTCCCTGTGTTGATAGTATCTGCTAAGACATTTAATGACTATTCTTTTGTTGTGCTTTCTGGAGCTAGGGTTTCCTTTCTAGCTGGTCTGGTTGGGCCTGTGCTTATGTGATTCTCCCACCTCAGCCTCTTGAGTTCTAAGTTCACAGCCTGAGCTATATATAGTACATAGCTGAAGAACATCAGTGAAGTCCCCTCCCCTTCACAACACCCAAGATGGGTCTCCACTTGCCTTTTCCCAGTTCACTTTCTGCTTCCTCCCTGGGACCACCTTCTTCCTGCAAGGTAGTTGAGATATTTGGCTTTTCTTTTCATAAAGAAGGGAACCCCCACCTCAACTTCCACTACCAGTGTGTTCATACAAAAAGCGGGAAAATGCTCAATTGAAGAAGGGGCAGAAGAAACTCTCTCACCTTAGCCTTTTCCCAAACCCCATGTCCAGAAGGAGGTTCTGTTAACATCCGGGGAGCTCTGTCCAATCCACCAGTTTCCCCTGCTGTATTCTCTATATTGTTTCTGCAAAGCTTTCTAAAACCATATCCTGTTCACTAGCCACAGGAGCAGCCTTATTATGTGTAGTCTCTCTTTTAATAGGACTTAACACCGTTATTAAATCAGGAGACAGAGGGAGATAATCAGTTAAAATCTTAGCAGAGGATCCATATATGTTGGGTACAGCTTCAAGTATTCTCTTAATGTACTTTCATGCCTCTCCATGAAGCCTGTCATTGTTCTACACAATCGATAAGGATTTGTACTTTTGATGTTGCCTGGAAAAAAAAATCATTCCAATTTCTTCCTTTTGTTAGAAAAATGGCGAAGAAGAGAGCATTCTTATTTTTCCTGATGTTCTCTGTACAGTCTGAAGGTTTCCTTACAGTTCTTATGTTAGTGTGGGAGCAGAGCCCCACCAAATGCGTTTCCCTTACTTTTCAGTCAGTTTAGAGTATGCAGTAATTTCAGCGGATGGTTTGTGGATGTCCTGTGGCATATCAAACCTGCCCAAGATTGTCTGAGGCACAGTCAGGCTTTTATAGCCACCTGCTTGTAAACTGGCTGCCTAATACTCTTTCACAGATAGAATATGGACAGACAGCAGGCACAGAGAAGCTTGGGTGGATGTACATATTCATTATGCCGAAGTCATAACACTTCCGTTCCTAGGGTAGGCTGCCTGCAGGGGGAAGTGGCAGGGAGGGCCTCTTGATAGCCTGGAAGCAAGGAGTGAAGCAGCAAAGACGACAATTGTGAGTTCCAAAGCAGTGCCAGCTAACGTCGCTTTGCTGATGGAAAACCCATCTGTGCAGTTCAGTAGAGGCTAAAAACTGGAGGTGGAATGGTCTGATGTAGAAATCAGAGAAGGGGCTAATAGAGTTGACTGAGTTTGCTAACGAGGTGCCTCTGAAACACATGGCCTTGTTACTCAGTATCAAACTTTTAAAACAGTTATTCACATGGTGAATTGTGTTTTATTCGTTTTTGGCATTGTTGAAGAAGACAACTACAACATAATATGGAAATATGAAAATACGTAACATTTATGAAAATTGAGTTGCTGCCATGACTTTATTAAATACAAAAGTAAGACTGTACTGTATAGTACACCACCACAGGAAAATGTCTTTATCTTTGGCTAAGTTTTATAGATGGGAAGGGCTACGCTTGGAGACAGGCCAGGAGTTCTTGTTGGCTTGTATTGTGCGTTGACCCTTGAATGTCATGTGCCGTCTGGTTCTCAATTATTCCACTATCAGCTCAGCTTTATCTTCTGCTTTTGGTACAGGTGCTTGATAGACATAGTGTAAGTGTTAGGGTTTGCGGTCAGAAGAGCATCTGGGCTGATGGGGCCAGGAAATAACTCAGAAATCACACCACGCATCAGATGTCACCCAAGAGATTTATTGGGGTTGGGGAGCAAAAGGCCACCTCTGAGCAGGGACAAGAGAGAGACAGACAGAGACAGAGATAGAGATAGAGAGGGAGAGACAGAGAGCAGGCTGAAATGGCAGGGCCCTTTTAAAGGATGTGTGTGTGTTGCATTTGGTGGCTGGTGATGATGTGGCAGCTAGTGATGAGTCCCTGGAGTCAGGCTGGGAGAGCCCCTGGTTCCTAACAATAAGATTTTCATCTGCCTTCACCTCAGGTTCAACAGTTTGTTAAATGGCAAAATGTTAGTTACTATGGTGTTAGTACAGAAGAATCATGTGTTTTATGTCCTTTGCTGTCTTTTAATATTATGGTACTATTATTACTGTACTCTACTTGCGTGTTTTAAGTACCAAACTGTTTGAATTTAAGTACTGAGACATCAAAGGAACTATCTTCATGTACGTTTTAATAGTTTTAAATAAATCTTATAAAATTTGTTTTAAAGTTATTAAATTGTTCAAAATAGTTTTATAAGAAGATACTTGATTAATATGACACAACATTTGGATTAACATATTATTATTATGTGAGAAATGAAAATGCCAGCAGGACTAAATTTAGAATGAGAACACACTGTCTGCTAATATACTTAGCATTCAAGGATCTCATATCATATTCAAATAGAGACTAGTGTGCACGGTGAATAAACTAGTGACCTGAAACAAGACACACTGTCACACTGCTTTCTGAGAACACTCTGTTGCCCTCTAGTGGATGGCACAGCCCGGCAGACACTTCCTGAACTTGAAAATCGACACTACCCCATTTGAAAATGTCTTTTGTCTTGTTAATGTAGCTCACAGCTGGGAAGTGGTTAGTCAAGCCAGAGTTCACACATACCTGTAGGTGCTCTCTTAGAGTTTTCTTAAAAAGGCCAAGGTCATTGTTTGCGTTTGTAAACCTTGTTTATGTTTTTGGAGTTCTCACCTTCCTTTTCACTGACTGCAAAGTTGATGGCTGATGGTGATGAGAAGTGTGTAACTTTCAGTGTGTAATTAGACAATTCATGGTGTGCATTGTGGTTTGCTTGGGAAATGGGAATGCTACATTAAACCTTTTGTTAATGATCCCTGAATTATTTGTTTTTTAGACTCCTGAGTTAATTTTTGAGCACTTACTTTATTAGTGATACTTCCGCCTCAATAAAAGTATTTATTATATTTTCTTAAATAGTGATATGGCAATTTTGACTCTAAAAGTTCACATTGATTTTGGGGTCTTGAAGTTATGAAGATGTCTGGAAGAGGTTTGAACAGTGCTTCAGAAAGAAATGCAAAAGCTTGTAAAGAGGGAAAGAGATATTTTGCCAAGTTCCACATTTCAAGATGACTTTCTGCCTATAGAGTTATGAAATTATAGAATCTTAGGTCCAAAAATACAAGAATCATATGGACAAACCTTAACGTCTTCCTAAAGAGGACATCTCTGAACCAGGGAAGTCTCTAGGACTCCATGTCTGTGGTGATTTCTTTCCTGAGTCCAGCCTTGCACTTCCTCTGTGGATCTGAGCACAGCTGGAGAAGCTCAAGGCTGATGTTGCAGGTGACATCCCCAGAGGATTTCCTGTCCTGTTTTCTTCTTTTCTCTCTCTATCAATAGGGCATCCTTCCCCTCCTCTCTAATGCTTGAACTTAGCAGTTATTTCAAAACTTTATTTATGAGCACAGTTCATTTTTTATCGTTTCACGTGTATTTATAACCCCTCTTTGCATTTCCAGAGATATAAATTTTAAATTAATAAAATTCCAGGCTAAGGTTATGGTAACTGATAGGGAGTGATCTTCTTATGTCTAGTCAGCTTCTTAACTCTAAATTGTGCTAACTCATTGGCTAAGAGATTAGATTATGAACAAACTTAGTTAATTTCTTGGGTTTTTTTGGTTGTTTTTTTAAATCTGTATTACTTTCAGAAACTTAACCCTTTCTTTGTCCCATGGTTTTCTCATGGGTAATTGGAACTAAAAAATAAAAATGCAATAATTTTATGTTATATCGTATCATGTGTTATAACCTAGCCACAATTTAAAGCCAAATTCTCAGGAG